AGATGCTTAGTGTCCATGTATATAGAGACCTCTCCTCTCCTTCAGTTCGTCACTCCTTAAGCAAGCAAGCACAAGTCAAGCAATACAATATAGTCTTTTCTCACAGTGCAGAGTCCACTGTAATCTTCTGTCTTGAGAGCAGAGTCCTCTCTAAGACCTCTTTTACAACATCCTTTTATTGTACTTGCAACTACGCTGCTTCCTTCAGCATTGCTGTCGTACTTCCTACCGCTTCCGCTCCGCTCTGCTACAAGTGCATAGTTCACTGTAGCAACCTTGTACTGGTGCTATCATTATAGGCCAGTCAGGGCACCGCAGGAAACAGGTGTAATTAATAGAAGTATTAAAAATACGATTAAAAATAAAATAGAAGGTACTTATATATATATAGTAAATAAGGGTAGAGGGTTACGTTTAGCCACTAAAGTCTTATAATTAATAGGGTAATTATAAAATATAATAATTTAATAATTAGACGGCGTATTTAAAGCAACGTTTAGTAAAGTTATTATAGTACCCGGTACCGGTATAGTAATAATAAAAATAATTATAGTAGAGGAAGGAGGAGGAAGCGGGAGAATTAGGTAGTAAAAGTAACTATATAGAAGGTAATATATTAATTAGTATAGCGGATATAGGTATACTTATTATAGGGAGTATTACAGTACTAATAGCCTCTCTTTCCTTTTTAACGTTATTTATAAAAAACTATTAATAGATTTTATACTAGTATTATTATTACTACTATTAATATTATTAATAATATTAATATATATTAGGAGCCTATTACCGCTACGTTTCCTACTATTGGAATTAGTATTAACCGTAATAGTCTTTATTATAATTATTTTTTAAATAATTAAAGTAGGAGGATTTCGTATAATAATTGTTATGGGGCTAGAGCCTAGGGGTTAAGCTTGGCTGTTGCCAAGCTGTGTTTGCCTTATCGATAGGAATGCGCGCCTTCTGGTTGGCCAGACCCGCATAACTGCCTGGCCCGTGCGGCCTTGGCGCCCTACACAAAACCTTCTCTCGACTGCACCCTTCTAGTGCAGTCTTCCTTTGCTCTCTTTATTAAATATAGTATTTCAACCTTACGATTGCTCGTTGTGCTTAACTCGTGCAGACCCGTTATATTATATTTGACCCTCTTTTTAATTACTACCGTTGCTAAACGTTTGCAGGCACGTCCAAAGAGTCTCCTACCGTTATCCACGACAACCGTTCTTACTGACCGATTCCCTTCGCTGCCCGGACTTCCGTCCTTCTCGATAATAGCACCGAATTAGATCCCGTAGTCCCAAGACCCCCAAGAACGCCTCAGCTAATTTAGCGTTGCCTTCGATAACGTTCTGAACGAGCTCGCCGCCCTCAAAACTTCGGCTCCCCGGAAGCCAATCCTCCCTACCCTCGAAAAATTTTCTAGTAATAAGGAGGAATTCGAAATTTAAGTTTTGAGCGCACAAGTTAAACTCTATATAAATAGCCTATCTATTAGTAATTCAAAAGCGTAGTTTTATTATCTACTCGCTTGCTTATTACCCGCCGTTAAGAAACTGCTCGTTACATTCGCTACCACTCCTAAGTCTCCTCATAAATTTATTAATAAATTTAAACTTATATACGGGAACCCTAATACTATTAAACGTACTAGTTAGGAACTTTACTAGCTACGTTAAAAATCCGGCTCTAAGGAATCTATAGCGGCCTTTTTTCGCTCGATTCAAAAAAATGCTTTACTGCGCTCATACAAATTCTTAGTCAGACGCCGCCAAAATCAATTAATTAACGGCCTCCTTAAACTATAATTAGAAGTAACGCCTCTCCGATCGAACCGACGTACTTAAGTAGTATTCTTTACTACTAGAATATCTTCGTCGTTTTAATAGTAATACTTTTCTTTTAGCCTCCTCCTTATCGAAGTAGGCCCCGGTTAATAATAACGCTAGTAATCCTATAAATACTTCTATTAATATTTTAGTAACTAAGCCTTCGTTACCATTTTAGAAGTAGAAGAATAGGTAGAAGAATGAGGGCAAATATACGAATTATAGGAATTGTTTTTACTAATTTAAATAATATAAATAAAAGACGAGGATAAATAATGTTCAAGTGTAACCCGGTAGGGGCTTAGGCGGTTATAATAGCAATAACTATAAAGAGGAAGAATATTCGGATTAAGTAAAACTAATATTAGCTACCCTAATAAAACTATAGTAGAGGGAGCTTATTTATTAATTAAATATTTGCCTTTAATTATATATAGTTAGTTAAATACTAATATTTACTATTACGCAACCCTAGAGGTAGTAAATATTATATTTCGTAGGCATAGGATTATTAAGGCCATTCCTTAGCGAGGAAAATAGTAGCTACTATTGGTAAGAGAAGTAAAACAATACAAAATATTAGGTAATAGTTTTAATTATATTCTATCGCGGGTATATATTATTTTTATGGAACATTTCCTAAATAGGCAAAGTTTAGAAATATTCTTAAATTTAATTTTAGTACTAGGGCCTTTAGCGTAGCTCTATAAAGGTAGTATTTAAGCGTAAGTACTACCAATTCGGGTAGTAAATAGGTATAGTATAACGTTTATTTAGGAGCTCAAATAGAGAGATCTTATCTTTTTTAGTATTATTAATTTTTCCCGTTTAAATAGGCATTTAACTAGGTGTAGTTGTACTGGATTTTAGTTATTTCTCGTATAATTAGCTATACTATGATAATTTCTGTACGGTAGACCTAGCTCTCCTTGGGGGAGCAGGAGGGGTAATATTATAGAGCTAGAGCCTAGGGGTTAAGCTTGGCTATTACCAAACCGTATCTTACCTTATCGATAGGGTTCCTGCCTTATCGATAGGGATACGCGCCTTCTAGTTGGCTAGACCCGCATAACTGCCTAGCCCGTGCGATCTTAGCGCTCTACATAAAACCTTCTCTTGACTGTACCCTTCTGGTACAGTCTTCCTTTACTCTCTTTGTCAAATATAGCATTTCAACCTTACGACTACTCGTTGTACTTAACTCGTGCAGACCCGTTACAATAATATACTTAGCTACGATAGCTTCTACTTATTTACCTACGTTTTTAATAGAAATGTTATAATATATTTTACTATTATTAACGAAGTAATATATTTAATAATTAATTCTTTTATTATAATTCTTATAATTATACCTAATATTATATTTTCACATTTAAAAGAGCTTATAGTACGCAATATTATAAAATTTACATTCCTTACGTACCTTTCGTTCGCGGTCTTATTCATTGAATTTATCGATTTCCTTTAATATTATATTAATTATACTCTCCCTCCCTATATTAAATTTAGGGGTAATAAACAAGTATAATAATTATAGCATAGTAATTATAAAGGGATTGACTTTATTACAAGAGGGTGTAAGGGTAGAGGGTACGTTAATAATAAGGATAGGTGCTAATATTATAGCAGGCGGGTTAACGAAAGTAAAAATAAAAAGCGAATATAAAAGTATAGTACCAAATAATATTATTGCAGATATATACTTTTATAATACCATCGCTATTGAAATTATAATTATTATTATTAAGTTGAATAATTATAATAGTCTTCATATAAATTATAGCTTTATTCCTCCTATTATCATTATAAACGCTAGCGGTATGTATAATATTATAAAGGATAATTTAGTACTTAATCCTAACGGTGGTTGTATTAGCGATAATTTTTTAAGTATACCCTATTTGTAAACGAAGGACCTTATTAAACAGGGTTATTCTAAATTACTAGTTATAAATTTTACTATTCTTTTGCTTGACCTCGATTTTTTAATAATTCCTACGGTTAAGAATAGCGGGACATTTAATTTTAAAAGTAGTAAAATATAACTTTATAACCGTAAATTTTACTTAAATATAGAAAGGGAAAGCGGGTTTAAGTTTAGGTTTAGGAGGCGGCGCAATTTATTTGCGGGTACGCGGTTAGGCTAGAGTACGTAATTAAATTAGAAGCGCCTACGGGCAAATTGGAGATATTACGTTCTTATTATTAGGAAAATAGAATAAGGTATTAATAGCTTTCTTTTTAAGGGTAAAGTAGATAAGGAGATTAAGGAATTATTATTCCTCTTCTTCTTCCTCCTCTTCTTCTTCTTTGTCGTTATTAAAATCGTTATCGGGGTCGCTAGAGAATTTAATAGGGGTTAGCCGTATAGGCGGGGAAGATAGTACAGAAGTAGCTTCGGTTTTAATTTCGGGCTTTAAAAACGCTTTTAATTTTAGAGAGGGCTTTAATTCTAGCGTAGGCGCCTTCCCTTTCCCTTTATTCTTAAGGGTAGCCTTCTTAGGAATAGCTTTCTTCTTAGAGGCAGCCTTCTTAAGGGTAGCCTTCTTCTTACATAAATTAGTAATAAATTTAGATTTAATAAGAGTATGACTCTTTTTCGTAGGGCGGGTAGAGGTGTGCGTATTAGTTAATTCGAACCCTAATCCTCGTCGTCGAAGTAAATTGAAGTAATGTTAGCGCGACGAATCCGTTTCTAGTTCTTTAAGATCGATTTAAGAAGTATTATCACGATAGTTTAATTAATTAATATAATTGCTTTATTTACTTTGTACGATAAAAGAGGTTATATAGCACTTTAATTCTGTACAGAAATTATATAAAAAGACGATATTTTACGATATGTGTGTGTGTTCTCGCTTAGTTGTTGTGGCTAGCTTAGCAAAGTCTTGGCAACTGTCAAGGCGTTTGAGGGTGGGAATGGGCGGATATATGCCCCGCAAAATGGCTGGTGATGACTTCATCGCAACCAGTTAATGTGGGGCCAGTAGCCGTAGAGGTTCCCGTGCCTCTTACAAGCAATACATCATTACGAAACTAAGTCTCTTGCCTTTCAGAGTTGGATCATCAATTCATTGAACTCAACCGACAAACACCCCCCACGAACTCCTCTCGGCGCATACTTTCTGCAGTATCTCCAGCCTCTGCGCTTCTTAACGACGTTTACAGCATCCACACCACAGAAAGCGTCCACCACAGTCACAGCAACACATCGCAATTACCAAACACCCAGCCCTGCAACAAAGACAACCGCAGTCATGTCCGGCCCTCGCCGAAGCACCACTCCCGGTCGGGTGACGTCTTCGCTTCCCCTCAGCTCCGTAATCTTCTACGGCTTGGGCGCCGGTCTCGTCGGCGTCACCATGTAACGCACCTACCCTCCCCTCCGCGCCCTCACCTTCTTAACTCCCATCAGACACACCTCTCCACCCAATGGAACCTTGCTAACCACATCCGTTTCCAAATCCAGGATGACCCTCGCCGAAAAGTCCGAACAGCTCTTCACCTCCCGTCCTAACTCGTACGTGCCAGCACGCACGCTCGAGCGGCTGCTCTCCGTGCGCGCCTCGACCGACACGGAGCTGTTCGGGCTCAACATGGCGATGCACTACGGGCAGGGCGCGGCGGCGGGCGTGATTCGGGCGCTGATGAGCTGGAACGGGATCCGGGGACCCTTTGCCGACCTGATCTTTGTCGGAGTCCGCTTACTGATCGACCAGACGCTGGAGAACTGGACGGGCGTGGGGGCGCTGCCGTGGACGTGGCCGGTCAACGAGCAGGTGATTGATATCCTGCACAAGACGGTGTTTGCGGTGGCGACGGGGTGGGCGGTTGATCGGTGGTTGGTTAAATGAGGAGATTGTTGGTGAGAGCTAGGTATGTTCAGTACCAAATTATGGAAGGTTTGAAACTTCACAAGAGCTGGTTGAATTGATTCGTTAAACAGGATATCATAACAGCAAGGTAAATATGTTATTGGCGATGGGAGCCTATAACGCGTGAGAAAAGACGATGAAGAACGGGAAAGTGATTGCAGACAAAAAGGAAGAGACATTGAAGTCAGCTATAAACTGGCATGAAGAAACATGCGAAAGGCGAAAAAGAAAACCATCATCCAGAAGACGGAAAAGGAAAGTTGCAAAAAAGAGAAACTTGCTCCTTCGGTAAGGATCGAACTTACAGCCTCCAGATTAACAGTCTGACGCGCTAGCCAATTGCGCCACGAAGGATCAATTAATGATGAGGTGTCTGAGTCAGGACCTTACATACCCCATAGTAGCGCTTGGGGTACGTCCCTACGATTCCGTCTCGCACGGGAGTCTTCACAAACATCCGAAAGCAAACATGAACGCCACCTAACTGAAAAAGAAGCTATCCAAGCTTTGCGAACCTTCTTAATACATCGCTCATAAAAGTTCATGAACTTTCATTCCATCATGTCTCATGCCATACCCACACCAAAACACCTATGGTATCCCTATTGGTATTCCAATGCAAGGAAAACCCAAGAAGACTCCAAGAAGAAAACCCAACCCTCCAGTTTACTTCCTCTCATGCACCAACCTCCCCTTAACCCAAACCTTCCTCGTGTTCCTGTCATCACCATTATACACCCACTTAGCCACCCTATCCGGCCAGCTCTCCCACCCAAACACATCCACATTCCCTTCCTCCTCCTTCTCCTCACCTTCATACTCTCCATCCGCAACATCCCTCCCCAGCCCAATCAACTGCACATCCCACTCCATGCCCACCTCAAACCCGCCCACCCTGCCCTTCATCCCCACCAGCTCCGCTCCTCCCTTGGTAGCCAGATACAGCACCTCCTCCACCGTCAACTTGGCCCTCTCCCTATCTATCCCGTCCTTATTCGCCTTACTCCCCTTGCTCCCCTTCTCCACCGACGCACACCCCATAGCCACATGCCGGCTCACCAGCGCCGCCTGCCTCGCCGCCTCCAGCACCGACGGGCTATACCCGCCGCTCATATCCGTGCCTAAACCGACCTCGACGCCGCGCTCCAGCAACCACCTCACCCGCGCCGCCCCGCTCGCGAGGGCGCTGTTGCTGCACGGGCAGTGACTGACCTTGCTTCCCCTCGCCTTGATGATCTCCACCTCCTCCTCCGACAGGTGCACGCCGTGCGCCAGGATGGTCTTGTCCGTCAGCAGCCCGAAAGTGTCGTACACGTGCGTGTAGGTATCCCCTTTCGCCCCGATCTTCTTGGCGGGGAACAATTCCCTGACTAGGTCGATCTCGCCTTCGTTCTCCGAGATGTGCGTTTGTACAGGGAGACCCGTCTCGGCGGCTAGCTTGCCGAGGTCGGCCATCAAGGGGGCGGAGCACGAGGGCGCAAAGCGCGGGGTGATCACGGGCCGGACGATGGCGCCGGTCGGATCGATGGACTGGATGTAGGCGATCGATTCGCGGGTGGCGGCCACGGAGTCGGCGGCCGAGGCGTCGCGGTAGTAGTCGGGAGACAGCTGGTCCATGCACACGCGGCCGACGAGGGCGCGCTGGCCGGCACGTAGGCACAGGTCGGCGAGCAAGTTGGTGGTGGTGACGTCTTTGGTGGCGTAGTAGGCGGCGCACGTGGTGCCGTGGCTCAGGGTCTTGCGGATGACGCGGTTGTAGACGGTCCGGGCCTTGGCCGGGTCCGAGAGCGAGGCCTCGAGCGGGAATGTGTAGGTCTCGAGCCAGTCGAGGAGGGTGGACTTGCCGAAGATGCCGACATTGGGATATTGAGGGGCGTGCAGGTGAGTGTCGATGAAGCCGGGGAAGAAGAACTGGTTATGGGAATCTGAGGAGGAGTGTATGGTGACGCTGTTCGGGGCCCAGCCGAGGCGTGGAAGAAGAGTGCTGGTGGCCTGGGAGAGGTCACAGTCGCGCTTGATGGCAACGATGGTGCCGTTCTGGTCAACGGCGACGGCGGTGTTGTAGAGGTATTCGAGCTCGGTCAGGGTCTTGGGGTAGATGAAGGTGCCGTAGAAGAGCTGGTTCTGGGTAACCAGGGTTGTCTGTTCTTGAGAACCCATGTTGTCTGGGTTGTGTGTAGTATAAGAGGACCGATGTCTCCAAACTTCTCCAAATATTCAGGTACCGTGCTGGGAAGTGAAGGCTACAATTAAGGTACCTCGCGCTCAGACTCTTGATGTGCTTGTTCGGGCCGTTCCGGTTCGGCTTTTCGGATGAACGAGACTTGGTCGAGCAATTGCCAATGATGCCCTTGTTGCATATGATATGCGCGGTTGATGAGAAGAAGCCGGATTCTCGGGATTCGTAGACGATGGGTTTGGCTTAAGTGAAGGTTGTAACGGTCTGACGATTAAGCCGATGCAAGTTGAACACTGACAGGTGCGAGTTGCTGTGTGCGCTTCCAAACAACGTGTCCTCTTGTTGCTAACAGATAATGGTGAGAAATGGCATCAAACCCCCCCAAAACTAGAAGGGAAAGAAAGAAAGTCCGGGGAGAGGATGATTCTTTATAGTCTGTCTTAGTCTTAGGAAACAACAGGCTGGTGGTGATAAGAGCGTCAAACGGCTAGCATTACCCCTACCGAGCCATATAACCAATGAAACATTGTAGCCGAAACATTCACCACATACCGATTCTCTCTTGGAACCTCGACCTGTGCCTCATTGCTTCTTTACCCGCCTGCCGCCGATACGCGATAGGACATCGAGTATATCGGTGGATCTGGTCCCTTGCTTTCGGTTACTTTGAAGTGCGGTCAGCGCCGGCTGCCGATCCAAGGCTACCAACGGGTGCCGGAATGGAAGCCAAGGGACATCCAAGAGGTGAGCCTAACCACTCGGAGATGATCGGATTTTGGCACTCCTCCCCTGGTCTTTCTGATCAGCGTCACTTGCCCGATCCGATTGCGACCTGATTGATCAATCTGATTGGCCAATCTGGTCATGTCAGGGCGACCTGCCATGACGTCTTGATAAGCCCAAGATAACACCAAACAGCAAGCGTGCCCAGCGTTCGAGGCCGAACGGTCACAATCTCTCGTAGTGTCTTGCTCTTGTGAACGGCGTTGTCTTCAAAACCTCTAAATGTCTATTTTCCCACTGCTCCAGACTTTCGTTACCATTTAGCTAAATCCACCATCTGAAATATACGCCTGGCCGCCAAAGAAATGCTGACAAAATATAACATCTTTTATAACTCCTGTAATCCACCACCTCTTGCCTTCCGTCCAAATAACCGCCAAGTTTATGGATGCTGAATAGTAATATGCGGCGGGTAAAAGCCACTGAAACTAAAGGATGCGTAAGCGTCTAAACCAGTTCCCATCCCTCATCGCTCCCGTTTCTTCTCTTCTTCTAGAAGTGAGCCGTAGCAATGGCAACAGCATGGCTGTCAGAATAGGACAGCGTCACGTTAACCTTGGAAACGCCAGCCTTGTTCGCAGCCTCCAAAGCAGCACCGTGCAACTACGAATATGTTAGCAACTAATACTAGCGACCAAAAACGGAACAAGGGATACGTACCTTCACCACGGGACCCCCGTTGCCATCCGAGAGAATCTCAATGTCCTTCAAGGATGCACCAGCACCCTGGCCGGTAACACCAAGGGACTTAAAGACGGCCTCCTTCGCGCTCCAGCGACCAGCAAACGACTTCTGCGGCGACCGACCAGTGCTAGGGGCCTTGCAGTACTGGAGCTCAGCCTCGGTGAAGTTGCGTTCCAGGAAAGTTTCATTGTCGATGTTGATGGAAGAAATTTCCTCGAGATCGAAGCCAACACGGGTGTTGCTGTTCTTGAGACGGTTTGCAGCACGGGCGACAGTCGACTCAAGAGATTCCTCGCTCTTCTTCTGCAGCTTCTGCGCCGGCTCCAGCTCCATGAAGTTGGCGGGATACGTGAGCTGGCCGGTCTTCTTGTCCTCAGTAACACGGGCCTTGGGGTTGAGAAGAACCGATTGAAGCTGGTCGTCAGAGTAGGGAGATTTATCCTTGGCAACGAACAGGGTGTTGTTGATGAGACCGTTGTGGAAGAAGCGGTAGGTCTTCTTCTGGCGAGCCTCCACCTTGGTGCGGTAAGCGTTGAACGCCTCCTCGTCAAGAGTGGCATAAAGATACTTGGGATGGACACCAATGGCCTGAGCACCCTTCTGGCCGAAACCGAACGATGTAACGGAGAAGGCCTTGACACCATCAGTCTGGATACTCTTGCTAGGGTAAACAATGTAGTCAAACTCCTCCATGACAGCGTCGACGTTGTCGGCGTTGCGGTTGCCGGGGACAAGGCCACTGTTGAGCACTTGCAAGCAGCCGTTCATCATCCAGGCACCAGCAGCACCCTTGGGATGACCAGTGAGATACTTCTGGAAAATGCCGAGCACAGCATTGCCCTTCTTGCGGCCGAGATGACGGAGCTGCTGGCAAATGACAGACGACTCATTCTTGTCGTTGGCCTTGGTAGAAGTACCGTGGAAAGAAGCGACGTCAAGATCGTCAATAGTGAGGCCCCAAGTAGCAAGGGCACCACGAAGGGGAGCAATCGTAGCATCGCCCTTCCAGAAGTTGTTGCCGTAGCTGCGGAGAACTTCCTTGACCTGTCTTTCGGCCTCCTCTTCAATGTGCTGGGTTCTATGGCGGGCATAGTCGTCGATCTCCTTCTGCGGCCTGCCTTCGGCCTTGAGGGCCTCAACCTCATCGGCGAGATACTCAAGCTCTTCCTCCTTCTCGTTCTCAAGCTGCTTCTTCCGGCGCTCAATCTGGCGACGTCTGTACTTGATGTCGAGCAGGGGCGAGGGGAGGCTACCCTGGCGCTCGCGAGCAGTAGTAAGAACACCCTTGCCGGGGGCAGGGACGGAGCGACCGATCTTGTCGGAAGCGGTGGTGGTCAAAGCAAGGACACCATAGATGGGGACGCCCATATCCAAAGCAAGCTTGGCAGTCATGATGACCTGAACACCGCTACCCTGCGACTCCATGAAGCCATTTCTCGTGGTAGTAGTAGGCCTGGACATCTCCTTGGGCGTGCGACCATGGGCAAACTCATCAACAGCGTTGCTGGTAGCCTTCATGTTGGCGAACTCATACGAGCCCTCCTCGCCGAAGTCATCGAAGCCACCGACGAAGCACACGCGGGCCTTGCCCTCCATGATGGTCTCGTAACCAATGTCGATGGACTCGACAGCGGTAGCGCAAGCACCGACTGGCGTCTTGATGGGTCCAGAAGACGAGATCAAGAGCATGTTGACCCAGGCGGCCATGGTGTTGATGAAGGACTCTTGAAGAATATCGTTCTGGACAGGCTTATCAAGGAATCTGTCGCGGTGCATGTTACGGAGTGCAGTGGCACCACCCATACCAGAACCGACGCAGTTACCCACTTCGGAGACATGGACGTACTTGTAGAACTCATACGGGTCGGTAATACCAGACGAGAGAAGAGCCTCCACAGTAGACACAAGGACGAAGAGAGCAACGGGGTCAACCTGAGAAATGATGTCGTCGGGGATACCGTAACGCTTGGCGTCCCAGCCGGTAGGGATCTGGCCAGCAACCAGACGGTCGAAGCGCAGAGCCTTGGGGATCCAGAGCGAGGCGCCCTTCTTCAGACGGACAGTGTACTGACCAGTCTCGGGAATCTCAAAGATGTCGACCTTATCGCCATGCTCTCTCTTGAACTCCTCAGCGGTTTCCTTGGTGGCCTCAAAAGGATCGAGATCCTCCTCAATGACAACCTCATGGAGAAGCTGCTTCTTGTTGGGATCGTAACCTTCGAACAGCTCGGGCTCGATCAGACGGATACCAGAGTGTTCGAGGATGTACTTCTCGTACTTGGGCTTGATGTCCTTGTCGTCAACGGGCTCGCCAGTCTTGGCATCAACCCAGCCAGAGTAAGGCTTGCCCTTGATAGGACCATTGTGGTTCTTGATGAGACCCATGATCCAGGCCATCTCAATGCAGCCCTCAAGCGAGAACTCACCATAGGCCTCCATCTCCCAGCGGGTTCTGGAGTTACCCCAGGGGCCAACCTCGGCGAAACCAGTGACAACAACGACCTTCTCCAGATCAACCATACCCTTGAGGGTGTCGTTAAGAGGAGCAACTTCGGACTTCCAGTCAGGCAAGGTCGGGAAGTCAAACTTGATGTTGGCACGAGGCTCAATGACCTTCTTCTTGTACAGAGCCTCGGAGTCCTCGCCATTGACGATCTTGTTCTCAATAGCAGTCTCCTTGGTGACGGCCTTGCGGATATCGCTGGTCTCCATAAGGTTCTTGCGCTGACTAGTCATGGTCTCGTTCAAGTTGGTGATGAACTGAAGACCACCGTTCAGATCAGCGAAGACAGGCTCGCTCTGGCACAAGTCGACAATAGTAGGCGACATAAGGCCAAGCAAGTTGAAGGCCATCTCCTGTTGGGAGAAGGTGCGGACACCAAAGTTCTCAACACCCTCAGCAACCAAGTTGTTGCCAGACATGAGGCCGGTACCACGAGTCCAACCAATGATGGCGCCGCAGATAGTGAGGTAGTTGGCCCAGTCCTCGGCATGCCACCTGTTGAAGAGAGTCTCGAGGCCGAGCTTGGACTCGGAGTAGAGACCATCGCTACCAAAGGTGCCGTGGTTGGGAGAGAGCGGGAGGATGACCTGGGCGGGACGAGTTTCGAAACCGCGGTCGGCCTTCTGAGCCTTGACGTTGCCAAGGAGGCGGATGAGGTTGGTCAACATGATACGGTGAGCCAACTCGGACTTGGAGTCAATGCCATCAATCTGGCGACCCTGCTCAGAGATGGCGGCGAAGGGAACAATGTAGTCAAGATCCCAACCAAGACCAGTCTTGGTGTCGTAGATGTAGTCGACCAAGGCGTTGATGTCCTGCACGCTACCCTGGTTAAAGGGAACCACAACGAGCTGAGAGCCACGAGAGCCAAATCTGGCATACATAGACTGGTAGTACTCGGTAACTTCACGGGAGAAACGGCTGGTCGTGACAATGACCTTGGCACCACCGCTGATAAGACCTTGGAGAACCTCGGCACCGATGGAACCGGCGCCCGCACCAGTCATGAGCACGTACTTGTTGGCGAAGGTAACACCATTCTTGGCCGCCTGCTCCAAGCAGTCAAGGTAGAGGCCGGTGAGCTTCTTGCTGTAATCCCAGCCGTGCTCGGACTTCTTGCGCAGGTGGAGGAAGGGGATCGTCTCGGTCTTGCCCTTGGACTTGGACGACGACTTGGACAAGACGCTGCTGACCTTGCTGGACTCCTTGGGCATAATCTGGCTCTCGTTCATGCTCAGAGACCTGATGACGTCGCCATATAGAGCCTTGATCTCGAGCTG